CCACTCTTAACCACTACACCAAACTGGCTGCTAACAGATTTTATTTACATTATCATACAACACCGCTTGCATCTGGTTAGCAAAGCGCGGTTGAGCCGGTTCTTGAGGTAAACGGCTTTCTTCCGTTTTCACCTCTACTTTGTGCTTCTGAATTGCTGTTGTGTGCTGATTAAAATGTCTGCATCATTTCCAGTGGCGCCATGCTTTGCCCCTGCATGATCTTCCTCAAACTTTTCCCCCACCATTCTAAGTTGAGAGGAGGAGGAGGAGGAGGAGATTGGATTTATACCCTACCCTTCACTCATAGTCTCAGAGCAGCTTACAATCTCCTCCCCTTCCTCTCCCCACAAGAGACACCCTGTGAGGTAGGTGGGGCTGAGAGAGCTCTGAGAGAACTGCTCCTGACGGAACAGCTCAGGGAGAACTTGTGACTGGCCCAAGGTCACCCAGCAGCCGCATGTGGAGGAGTGGGGAATCAACCCCTGTCCTCCCAGCTTAGAGTCCACGCTCCGAACCACTACACCAAACTGGCTCTCTTCAGATGCCTTGGCACCACTGAGATACATTGAGAAGTGCTATATTGGTCTAGCGCAATAGTGTTCCACGTAGAACGTTCCCAGAAAAGTTCCGAGGAAAATGATGCAGCAAAAAAGGTCAGGGCGAAAAAGCAGGGCGCAGTTTGAAATGGCTGGATAGCTTCAGAGAAGTCTCACTAACGGAATGAAATCTGCTGTATGAAACCCCCGCATCCCCGTATCGTTTTACTCAGAGCTGGGCCAACCACAGATAAAATCCACTTTAGAACAGTACTGTGAAAGGAGCCAAGGTCTCAGAGAGGGGGAACTAAAAACGTTAGCATGAGCAACAGAAGATCTATCTGAAGAGACTGTGGAAAGCTTATTAGGCAGCAGCTGGGACGAAGCACACCCTTTAGCTAAGGAAATCTGAGCTCCTTTGCGCAAACGTGTGGGAGAGACAGAAGCTGCCCAGCAGCGGTGGAAAAAATGTTCTGTCCATGCTCAGAGGCACTTGTGTGCTCCTGGAATGCAAGTTAGAGTTGGAGGCAGTCCCCTGCAGTCCTGATTCATATCAGAGTGCAGCTCAGAGGGCTTTATTTATCTGTTCCCACCTTCCTTCAAGCACCTCAGGGTAGCACACGTCATTCTTTGCCTTCACAACAACCCTCTGAGGTAGGCTAGGCTGATACACAGCACCCAGCCAAAGGTCATCCAGGGAGTTTCATGGCAGAGTGAGGATCCGAACCCAGGTCTCCTACATCCTGTGCCAACACTCTAACCGCTATATCACACACACATACCCCTAGCTCTGAGCTGGTATTTGCCGCTTTGAAAGAAATGGCCAAGCAAACAATAAGAAATACTGGGGGATCCCTTTCCAGACCTTAGTTTGGCCCTGCGAGTCTCAGGCTGGACATTATTGGCATTCCCTTGCTTGAGAAGACGTAAAGGGCCACTGAATGGTCATCTAAACGTACAAGGGTCAGCCCTGACCGGGATATCATAGGCAAAACCAATCCCATCAGATCTCGGAAGCTAAGCAGGGCCGACCCTGGCAAGTACTTGGATGGGAGACCTCCAAGGAATACCAGGACTGGGGCGCAGGGGCAGTACCACACATCAGGCCTGTAGCTGCAGTGGGGCATTTTGGGGCCTGGCCCCCTGACTTCCTGCCAAGCCCCCCTGACTTCCATGCAGCCCCCTGGCCCCTTAACTCTCTGGGCCGCCTGGTGGACTCCCCACTGCTGCCCCTTCCCCAAGCGCAGCTTGCTTCCCTGCATACGAAAGCAGACTGCGAATGCAGCAAAAATGAGTTCTTAATTTTTTCTTTTTCTTTTCTTTTTTATTTTGTGACGTCAGTTCCTCCCCGACTTATTTAAAGGCCCCCCCGACTTACAAAATCCTGGCCAGAGCCCTGCCACACAGTCAGTGTTGGGTGGGTCAGCTTCTTTCCAGCAAGAAGCTATCGTTGGCCCTGGTCACACGGGAGGATTTGACCCGCGAAACGGGCGCGATCATACCGCAACATCTGGGAAGCGTCACGCACCCATCCCTGATCCGTCCCTTTGGCCCGAAAAAGCGCATTGAAAAGGTACCGGCAACAGAGCACTACCTTCCAGATGACACGCGGCAACTCCAGGCGTCTGATCGGGGAAGCGCTGGTAGCCCGTCGCAGCCAGGGCCGTTCCCCGTCCCACGCATGCGCACAAACGCGCAACGTCCATTTTGCCGCGCTATGTCTGATCGCCTGCCGAAGGCCGGAGCACGGAGCTACGGGGGCGTGTCGGATCGCGCTACTGCAGTTCTTTTTGCTCCGGCTCTAATTTGCCTCCCTTCAGTGGCGCAGTGTCCCACTCATGTGACCTGGACCGTTGTTTTAACCACAGAAAGAAGTAGCGTCATAAGATCCTTTCTAATCCGAGGCATCGAAATACCCTCCCAAGAGTTTAAAAGTATAACCTCAGGCTTACAGGGAACTCAGTATCCTGTTAAATTTTTTATTTGGTTTAGAATGTTCTGCCAAAATCGTTGTATAGTCGAGCACTCCCGCCAGCAATGGTAGTGAGATCCAAGTTCGCCTCATTGTTTCTAGCGTGAAGGTGAGAGGAGCCTTGTTTGTGTAGCGTAGCTTTAAAGGTGTTAAATACCACCGAGCCATAATCTTATACTTTTGTTGTTGCATGTTATAGAATCATAGAATGTTAGAGTTGGAAGGGACCTTGCAGGTCGTCTAGTCCAACCCCCTGCACTCTGCAGGAGCATAGCCAAAAGATAGACCTGGAACATACCCGAAAGATGGTCTTCCAGCCTCCACTTGAAAACGTCCAGCGAAGGAGCATCCACCACCTCCAGAGGCCGTCTGTTCCGCTGCTCAACCACTTTCACAGTTAGCACGTTTCTCCTGATATTTAGCCGGTATCGACTCCGTTGTAATTTCCACCCATTCGATCTAGTCTTGCAATCCGGAGCAAGAGAGAATAGATCTGCTCCATCTTCCACATGACAGCCCTTCCAATATTTGAAGACTGCAATCATGTCCCCTCTAAGCCTTTTCTTCCCCAGGCTAAACAGACCCAACTCTTTCAGCCTTTCCTCGTAAGACTTGGATTCCAACCCTCTCACCATCTCAGTTGCCCTCTTCTGGACACGCTCGAGTTTGTCAACATCCTTCCTAAAATGTGGTGCCCAAAACTGGACACAGGACTCCAGGTGAGGCCTGACCATGTTAATAGAGTTGGTACTCGGAGCATAGGATGACCATATTGATTCCCACTGAGACAGGGGAAAGAGATTTTTAACCCTTCAGGCTTGACTCCTCGGATTCTCCGGAGCGAGCGGTCAGTCAAGAAAGGGCCCAGGATCGAAGGGCTCAGAGGTCTCCATTCCTACTCAACTCTTGTCTGACAAATGGAGATTTGAGTCACGAAAGCTTACTCCCTGAAAATCTTATTGGTCTCTAGGGTACTATTGGACTGGGACCTAACAGTTCTACAGCAGAACAACAGGGCTACCCCTCTGAAACTGACCCGATCCAGATCTGAGTAGTGTGTCCAGTTTTGGGCACCACATTTTAGAAAGGGTGCTGACAAGCTCGAGCGTGTCCAGAAGAGGGCAACCAGGATGGTGAGAGGGATGGAATCCAAGGTTGAATCTGCATTTGTCTTTCTCACTGGTGTCCCAGCCTTCTGACTCCGTTTTAAAAAAAAACTGTCTACATTTGGTGTCGTTTTCACACCTCAGCAGTGCTGACATACTTCTGCACGTCTGCATATGTTTAGTGCCCTTTCAGCGGCTCCACTGTCATTGCACCTCTGCACTGCTTTAAAAAAAAATCTTCTCCAAACAACATTCAAACAAGCATAGAGAAAGATGGTGTCACAGCAGCACGAAACTGATTTAAAAATGCAAATGCAGATTCGACCCAAGTCTTATGAGGAAAGGCTGAAAGAGTTGGGTATGTTTACCCTGGGAAAGAGAAGGCTTAGAGGGGACATGATTGCAGTCTTCAAGTATCTGAAGGGCTGTCATGTAGAAGATGGAGCAGATCTATTCTCTCTTGCTCCGGATTGCGAAACTAGATCTAATGGGTGGAAATGACAAGGGAGTCGATACCGGCTAAATATCAGGAGAAACTTCCTAACTTTGAGAGTGGTTGAGCAGCGGAACAGACTGCCTCGGGAGGTGGTAGATGCTCCTTCACTGGACGTTTTCAAGGGGAGGCTGGACGACGATCTTTTGGGTATGTTGTAGGGCTATCTTTCGGCTATGCTCCTGCAGAGTGCAGGGGGTTGGACTAGAGGACCTGCAAGGTCCCTTCCAACTCTAACATTCTATGATTCTATAATCCCGAAAGTGTGAGCAAAGAGGACGAGCACCTCAGAAATCACTCCGAAGGTTCATCTCGCCCAGCATCCTTTTCCCAACAGGACTTCTGGAAGCCCCACAAGAAGAAGAAGAAGAAGAGAAGAAGATATTGGATTTATACCCCGCCCTTCACTACCCATATGGCTTACAAACTCCTTTGCCTTCCCCTCCCCACAACAGACACCCTGTGAGGTAGGTGGGGCTGAGAGAGCTCTGAGAGAAATTGCTCTTTTTTCAAGAACAGCTCTTGTCAGAACTATGGCTTGCCCAAGGTCATCCAGCAGGTGCAAGTGGAGGAGTGGGGGATCAAACCCGGCTCTCCCAGATTAGAGTCCGCACATTTAACCACTACACCAAACTGGCTCCTTGCCCTCCTGTCTTTCTTGCCTCCCCAGCCTCTGATAGACAGCTTCAGTAAATGGAGGCTCCGTTGAATGGTCACCGCTAAAAGCAGCATTTTTTAAAAAAAACCAAACCCATCGAGCCACCAGAGACAAACGAATTCTATGAAACGAGCCATTCCGGGAACGGGCATGATCACGCAGCAGATATGACACCCTTTCAGGAAAAAAGCAATTAACAAGAGATCGAATATAATAGAAGGTCGACACAACTCACCGGACGGGGGGAAAATGTAGGCTACAACCTTGAGAGGCAAAGCAGAGTGTGCCGCATTCTCTCCCTTTGATACACTTTGGCGCCTGTCCCCAGAGACGGATGCAAGCGGTAAGAACCGAAGGAAATTGTTTGGGCGTGTTGTTGCCAGGATCCATCCCAGGAGACCACTCACTCCCCCCCCACCTTTTCCTCTCATAGTGTTTAGCCTTGACACCACCAGGATACCTCCTTCCTTTCGCCTCTGGGCCTTGGATACAATTTAAGGTAACCACATAGTTTTCTCCCACCCACCCCTGTGTTCAGACAGAAACTCAACAGGTAAAGCTTTATCCATCATGGGAAAGGCACCCCAGACAGGATGTTGCCTGACAGGCTTCTATCCAACACACGCTCACTAAAGATGGAAGAAGCTCACTAGGAGGAAAACACATTAAATTAACCAGAAAATATAATGCCCAGAACGTGAAAGCAACGAAGAAGAAGAAGAAGAAGGAGGAGGAGGAGGAGATCCTACAAGATAATGACTCAGCCCTACCCCACCTTCCTGAGTAGATATAAATTACCTGCCTACCATTTTTCTTCTCACCTTGACCCGTAGAGTACTCCTTCTTTCTGTGTTATACCTCTGAGGATGTCAGTCACAGCTACAGGTCCTACAATACCAAGACCACGGCCAGACAACCCGGAAAATCCGCAACAGCTAATTTAAACGTTCAGCTTGAAACTTCCATAATGAACATGGATCTTACTTAAAGTCCAGAGGAGGACGACCAAGATGATTGGGGGGGGGGGGTTTGAGCACCTTCCCTATGAGGAAAGACTGAAGAGTCTGAGACGTCTCAGCTTAGAAAAGAGACAACTAAGGGGGGGTGGATATAGAAACTTATAAAATTATGAATGGGGCGCAGAGAGTTGACAACGAGAATTTTTTTCTCCTTCTCCTAAAATTCTAACACTCGAGGGCATCCAATGACGCTGATGGGCAGTAGGCTGAGGACAGGCAAAAGGAAATACTACTTTACCCAGAGAATGATTAAAATGTGAAATTCACTGCCATAGGATGGAGTGATAAGCAGTGTTCCCTCTAAGCTGAGTTAGTGTTATGCAGGGGTCATCTCGTAGAAAAAGAGGTGCAGGAGCTCATTGGCATAACTCATTTGCATATGCCACACCCCCTGACATCACCAGACGTGTGTCAGAAGGCAACACCCACCGCTCAGGCTCCACTGGACTGTTTTGGATTGCTAGGTATTGGGGGGGGGAAGAATGTGCAGAGCTGTCCTCGCAGAGGAGGGAGAGCTTGTACCTGAATACAACTTGGTCTTAAAGGTGCCACTAGACTATTTTGGGCTGGGGGCTGGGGGGGGGGCTCTGCAGCTTACCTGGCTGCTTCGTGCTCTGACTGAGGGCTGCTGGGAGCAGGGGGTGGGGCTTGTTGCATGTGCCCGCCCCCTGGGCTCATTACTGCCGGAGCGCCGCTCCTGTGCGCTCCTGCAGGAAATGACCCCTGGTGTTATGTATTGAACCTAGCCATCCCTGAATGGGGACCTTGAACTGGGTAAACTTGATCCCCAAGAACAATAGCTGACCAGCATCCTGGAATTGACCTATAGATGAGCAGTGTCATGTAAATAGCCTACCCTTGGGAGTGGGTGGGTGTGGGGTGGGGTGTTTGCATGCTTTATAAGCAGGACTCAGACCCTGCTGGGTGTCCTTGTTGTGTTCCTGAAATCACTAAATAAACGAGAGCTGATCACTGCAGTGCGTCCAGAACCCGGTATTTAACAGTTAGTGTGAGCTAGCTCACTGTTTTTTAGCTTCCGGCTCACACATTTTCCTCTTAGCTGAGGAAGGATGACTCCAGAGCAAACTAATTTGTGCAGGAGCCAAATCGCTCACTCAAGACTTTCATGCCAGTCACTCACAAAGTAAAAAATTTTGCTCACAAAACTCCACAGCTTGGAGGGAGCATTGGTGATAGGCACAGGAATAAACTGCTTTCATAGGGGATTAGATAGATTCATGGAGGATAATGGCTATCCACGGCTGCTAGCCATGGTGACTGAGGGATAACTCCACATTCAGAGGCACTAAGCCTCTGTATCCCAGAGCCAGGAGGCAACGTTGGGGAAGGCTACAGTCTCTCTGCCCTGTTGTTGGCCCTCCAGAGGAACTGATTGAAGCCACTGTGTGAGACTGGATGGTGATCTGGATGGACCACTGGTCTGATCCAGCAGGGCTCTTCTTACATTCTTATGAGGGGAAGGCCTCAGCCTCTACACCCTGTTGGCCCTCCAGAGGAACTGGTTGAGGCCACTGTGTGAGACAGGATGCTGGACTGGATGGACCCTCACTGGTCTGATCCAGCAGGGCTCTTCTTATGTTCTTATGAGGGGAAGGCCTCAGCCTCTCTGCCCTGTTGTTGGCCCTCCAGAGGAACTGGTTGAGGCCACTGTGTGAGACAAGATGCTGGACTGGATGGACCCTCACTGGTCTGACCCAGCCGGGCTCTCCTTGTGTTCTTATGAGGGGAAGGCCTCAACCTCTCTGCCCTGCTGTTGGTCCTCCAGAGGAACTGGTTGAGGCTGCTGTGTGAGACAGGATGTTGGACTAGAGGGACCCTCACTGGTCTGACCCAGCAGGGCTCTTCTTATGTTCTTATGAGGGGAAGCCCTCGTCCTCTATACCCTGTTGTTGGGCCTCCAGAGGAACTGGTTGAAGCCACTGTGTGAGACAGGATGCTGGGCTAGATGGACCCTCACTGGTCTGGTCCAGCAGGGCTCTTCTTACATTCTTATGAGGGGAAGGCCTCAGCCTCTACACCCTGTTGTTGGCCCTCGAGAGGAACTGGTTGAGGCCACCGTGTGGGACAGGATGCTGGACTAGATAGTCCCTCACTGGTCTGATCCAGGAGGGCTCTTCTGATGTCCTTATGAGGGGAAGGTCTCGGCCTCTCTGCCCTGTCGTTGGCCCTCCTGAGGAACTGGTTGAGGCCACTGTGTGAGACAGGATGCTGGACTAGATGGACCCTCACTGGTCTGATCCAGCAGGGCTCTTCTTATGTTCTTATGAGGGGAAGGCCTCGGACTCTCTGCCCTGTTGTTGGCCCTCCAGAGGAACTGGTTGAGGCCACTGTGTGAGGCAGGATGCTGGACTAGGTGGACCCTCACTGGACTGACCCAGCTGGGCTTTTCTTATGTTCTTATGTGAACCAAAATACTCGCTCATGCCTAGTGTTGTTCAGAGACCCAAACTCGCTGCCCACTTGGTTTCATTAGGTGACCTCGAGTCCTGAGTGAGATTGTTTTTGGAGAGAGAATAATTTATCTCGTTCATTTTCTGCATCCCATTATGAATCGCTGTCTTCTCAATCTATCACATTGCTCTCCTTCCCCCTCAGCCAAACTATAATTCACACCAGTGCAATGAAACCAAAGTGACTCTGTTTGTTTGTTTGTTTCTTTTGTTTGTTTCTAAAACATCTGCCTCATGTTTTGCATATACCAGCAGGAAGCCAAATACATGAATGGGAAACAGGGAGATTCTGCATGTAGCATTTGCTCCACATCTTCTCAACTGGGAGGGAAAAGTGCAGCTCAAAACCACATTCAGATACCTCGGGGCAATACTGTACTGACTGCAAAGTCACCCCTGAATGGCCATAAGTCTATGCAGAGGGTACCTTAAATGCGATGATCAAAGAAAGTGGAAGCGGCATGCAGTGTGGAGGGGACCATAACATCCGATGATCAAAGAAAGTGAAAGAGGCATGCCATGTGGAGGGTACCATAACATCCGATGATCAAAGAAAGTGAAAGAGGCATGCCATGTGGAGGGTACCATAACATCCGATGATCAAAGAAAGTGAAAGAGGCATGCCATGTGGAGGGTACCATAACATCCGATGATCAAAGAAAGTGAAAGAGGCATGCCATGTGGAGGGTACCATAACATCCGATGATCAAAGAAAGTGAAAGAGGCATGCCATGTGGAGGGTACCATAACATCCGATGATCAAAGAAAGTGAAAGAGGCATGCCATGTGGAGGGTACCATAACATCCGATGATCAAAGAAAGTGAAAGAGGCATGCCATGTGGAGGGTACCATAACATCCGATGATCAAAGAAAGTGAAAGAGGCATGCCATGTGGAGGGTACCATAACATCCGATGATCAAAGAAAGTGAAAGAGGCATGCCATGTGGAGGGTACCATAACATCCGATGATCAAAGAAAGTGAAAGAGGCATGCCATGTGGAGGGTACCATAACATCCGATGATCAAAGAAAGTGAAAGAGGCATGCCATGTGGAGGGTACCATAACATCCGATTATCAAAGAAAGTGAAAGAGGCATGCAGTGTGGAGGGTGACATAAAATCCTATGATCAAAGAAAGCGAAAGAGGCATGCAGTGTGGAGGGTACCTTAAATCCGATGATCAAAGAAAGCGAAAGAGGCATGCAGTGTGGAGGGTACCATAAAATCTATGATCAAAGAAAGCAAAAGAGGCATGCAGTGTGGAGGGTGCCATAAAATCTGATGATCAAAGAAAGCGAAAGAGGCATGCAGTGTGGAGGGTGCCATAAAATCCGATGATCAAAGAAAGCAAAAGCATCATGCAGTGTGGAGGGTGCCATGAAATCTGATGATCAAAGAACGCAAAAGAGGCATGGAGTGTGGAGGGTACCATAACATCCGATGATCAAAGAAAGCGAAAACATCATGCAGTGTGGAGGGTACCATAACATTTGATGATCAAAGAAAGCGAAAGCGGCATGCAGTGTTGAGGGTGCCATAAAATCTGATGATCAAGAAAAGCGAAAGAAGCATGCAGTGTGGAGAGAACCATAACATCCGATGATCAAAGAAAGCAAAAGCGGCATGCAGTGTGGAGGGAACCAAGAAAGCAAAAGCGGCATGCAGTTTGGAGGGTACCATAACATCCAATGATCGAAGGAAGTGAAAGCAGCATGCATTGCAGAAGGGAATTTGTGTTCCAACGTGGGTTTCATAAAATAATGGAG